ACTTTCCAAATCATTTGATTTCCCGATTTGGTAACATTACTTGGCCCCCTTGATCTTCAGATTTGACCCCATGCGATTTCTTCTTATGGGGCTATTTGAAGTCAAGGGTTTATGTAACAAATCCAACAAATCTGCAAGAACTTAAAAACAACATTTGTTCCGAAATAAGACAAATATCGCCTGATACACTAAGGAGCGTTATGAAAAACGACAAAGAAACGAACCCTAAGTTGTCAAAACAACCATGGCCATCAGTTAAAAGACCTTGTATAAAAACCTAGTTCTGACAAAAAAATGCAAAGGTTTTTCTTTCGAATCAAACAAGTTTCAATATCCTAGCGTTAATAGTTTTTGTTTTATTGGCAAATAAAAAGGGTCAGTTACTTCTGGGACACCATGTACATTGGTTACTTACAGTAGAGAGTATATGCGACATGGACATCTAGGCTACTGACGTGTAAGTTGTGTTTGTGTATGTGTATGGCGTGAGGACTGAAAAGCTACGGAGCTACCTTTTCGCTGCTCCTACAAACTATAAGCAGGGATATCCTTTCTCGTACCGATTTGATAGCAGATCACGTCTAATCTAAGTTATCCGTTCAAAGGAAGGCAATGTTGAGGTTTTTAAAAAAATTTGAGTCCAATCTGCCGTCGCTTTGTAGTTTACGGTTGCCAGTCTACAAACTAAATGCCTTCCGTGGAAAGAATAGCATACACTCCTGTAGGCCATTCTCAAGTTACTGTTCATAGAATTTTGCGGTGAAGTACAATGTACACTTTGACGAGGGACACTAATATGCGCACAAATGCGAGGCTTTTTTAGTGGACGTTGCAGAGGCCTAGCCAATTTTACTATGAAAAATTGTTTTAAGACTAACATCTAGACTTTTTTCAAATAAAACAGTTGAAGAAAAACTTGATGTGCTGTCAAATGAGCACAGGAAAGATCATTTGTGTTTGCGAGGGAATAGGAATTAATACAAAAAGTACACAGGATTTAAGGAGTCACTCGTTTTATAGGGAATGGGTTGTTGACGTCCGTTGGAAAGCCGTCAGCCTGGTGGGTGTGGTTCGGTGTTATGCTGCAAGATTAAAACCCTTTCCTTATCTTAAAAAACAATTTAAAATTTCGTACACGATCGGTCAATGGCAGTTCGTTGGTTGGCCTATCTTGCGCATTATACAGTGAAACCTCGATTAACGAGTTTAATTCGTTCCGGCACCGAGCACGAAATGTGAAACGCTCGTATTGCGAAACGAAGCCAATCAAGCTGCATCCGTTTACTGATTGGCTGCAAGCAACCGAGAACCCATGCCCTTGGAAAAAAACCCAACGTCGATTTCACTTGGGTCCATCCATGGTGTGGTCCAAACAGGTCGGTGCAGGAATTGCGACTTGCACATGTGTTACTTTTAAATGATAGTAGGCTTGCACAATATTTACCGCACTCCCTCTTCCATCACCCACCTG